TCTAGTAAGAATTATTTGTATTATATTTTTTTCTTCTTTCCTATACTCTATTTTAATTCGACATAGTCAAATATCCAATCAAAATATAGTGTATAATAGATGTCACTGTATTCTTCACAGATGAAAAAACAAATAATAAGTTTTACAGTAGAAAAATTAAACATTGAGAGAAAAGTATAGGTAAATTCTTGTAGTTTTTGACTACACTTAGAGTTATTCTACTATAAAAATTATAAAGTAAACGTTCAGTATTTTAAGTAATTTCACCTGTCGTTTTTAATAGAAAAAAAACTCGCTTTTTATCAAACTTAAGATAGTGACGAAACAATTTCGGTTGAGATGATATTTTCTTATACTCACGTATTACATCTTAACTTTAAGAAATATCCAGTGCCTTGGAATCTAATTCACATACGCCGTTATATATCATGCATGTGGAAATATACAACATGAAACGTTAACATATGTTTTTCTCCTATAGAATTCTGCATCGTTATAAAAGCATTTTTAATATATATAATTGCATAGGAAAAGAAAATGAGACAATGCCTGTGTTAGTAATCAATATTAAAATATTCTACCTAATCAAACACACATTGTATTGTTCTTTGTTTTCTTTTATATAAGTAGGAGTAGCATGGAAAGAGAAATGTTAACAAAGAGTTGTTTATGTATATTGGATTATTTACTTTCGACATTTGATTATATAAAACCTAATGAATTGGTAAATATTTTCATGCTAAATCTATACACATACATAGAATGTGCCTGGCTAATAGAATATCGAGGAAAGATCGAAAGTGTTACAGGTAAAAATATACATCAACAATAGTATGACAAAAGCCGCACTTCTTAGTTGAATATTCTTAAAGATGTGGATGTGAAATATAATCAACATCTTGTCCCATGTGTTATCGCTTATACCATGTGAATTCTGTTTTACTCAACTTTTTATTTGTCTTACAACCATAGAAATGTTTAAATAAATGAAACTTACTCGTTGTTAATAAAAACAAACTTCATAATTACATTTTACATTACGATCAATGATCAGAACATACACAACGCTATACTATTGGAATATATTCTTTCACTATGTTCTTCATCATTATCAATGAATTTTCAAACCGTCTCCATAAATCAAACTATTCATCAAATTTTTTTTCGTTCACTGTGTATGAATAACAAAAATAGTTATCGTTCATCTGACATACCTTGTTTTGAGTATTATTCGATAAATAATTAAAGTTATTGTGCACCAGCATGTCTCTTTTAATATTAGAATCATGAAACAATATCGCAGATATATGTATATTAGATATATCTTTATATTCATATCTACCACCTGGCTATCAGCAAATCTAATATTAGAGTTTCCTTTCAAATAGGTAATAAATATACTTGATATTTTGTTGATGTATATCTGGAAAGAATAAAAGATCCGTGGAAATGTTGACAAATAGTAGTTTTCAAAGTAATCCATCACTCATTGGATGATCAAAAGTAGCTCCTGCTAGATGTTTATCAACATGCGGTATATCTAACGCTCAATACAATTTAGTAAATCAGTTTTATTTACATAAGTGTATTAGTATAACTACCTTACTCTCACAAACTTTCTCGATTATTAATGGTCAAGTGTTATAACGGTAGCTTTTGATATTACCTAGATCATTATAGCTTCGAAGTTGGTTTTGGTCCTAATCAATTGGATGTTACAATGATCTGATGAGTTCCTCAAGACATTATATGAGAGAATTTTACGTTTCAAGTTGTCTTTCTTATACCACTTCATTTTTCCCATATATATATTCATTCATCTTACAAGAAAAATTCTAATAAATAAAAACGTGGAATAATAAAATAGTATTTAAAGCCTCGCTTATACGAGTAAATAAAAGATTAATGAAATTCATTCAAATCGACACTCTCAAATATACGTTAAAATTTTGTTTTTATAATTTCTATAATTTTTTTGCAAACTTCGAGGGTATGGATGTACTTGTGAATATAAGTGAGTAAGTGTATTACATCATTCCAGATGCTCATCCATTTATACTCACATCTACACCCACATTCACCCTCATACGTACTCTCATTTATGCTCAAATCCACATCCACATTCTCCAGATATCTAAATACCTACGTATCCACTCACACTCTCATCTCTCAAAAAAAAACAAACGACAAGATTCGTCGTACGATCAATAGCATAATGAATTTGATCAATTACTTTCAAATCGGATGAGTATACTTGTAGTGCCCTTGCTAGTACTCGTTCATAATACTCCAAAGGTACGAAAAAATGCTTTATCCTAGACGAATTTTCTTATATAATGAAAAAAACGAATGTAGAAATAAAGTTGCATGTGGGCACCACACGATAATAAAAATAATTCAAAGTAAAAGAATAAATAAATGTTTTTTTCATAACTTTTCTCTTTTCTCAAACAGAGAAAGACAAATAAGTTTGAAATATTTTCTTTCTTTTCTTTTTCTCTTTATTCAAATGTCTGACTTTATGTTAACAATGTAACAGATGCCATGGAATAAGTTACCACATTCATATTCGTTACAGACTATACTTTTTTCACGTTATCAGACGGTAAGCAAGCGTCTGTTCTCAGACGTGATGGATTGTACAGAAAGACGAGCAATATCTTCCTAATTGAATGACTTTGAGTTCTGTTAAATAATACAATTCATACTTTTCTTATTATAGTTTCTGAAAAGAGAAGAATTTAAGATTAATTCTAATGGCAAATATGAATGTATCGGACGACTTATTACGATGTCCCATAACAATGGAATTATTTCGTGATCCCGTCTTAGCATCAGATGGTCGTACATATGAGAGAGAAGTGATCGAAGAATGGATTCGAAACAATGGCACAAGTCCATTCACACGTCAACCATTATCTAAAGAAGAACTTTATCCAAATCGCATTGTGAAAGACCTTATTGAAGTTTTTGAAAGATTATTGTTTGAAAAAAATTACCAATTTAAATTAGATGTTGATGTGAAAAAAAAGAGAGGACGACCATTATTTCAAACAAATGGAAAAACAATCTATGGTGCAGAATGGATATCAGATAATAATAATCGACCAGAAATTATTCTATTAAAAATTGATGGTGCTCGAGCAAGAAAAGAAGCATCTTTTTACGTGAATTTAACTCGTCATTCACATATCATTCGAACATTTGGTTTTGTATTCGATAAAAATAATCCCAATCACAATGATACAATTTTACTTTTACAGGAATACGCACCTGAAGGAAGTTTATATGAGTTATTACAGGAGCGAAGTACAGTTCCTCATGAAAAAATTCTTATTCAGATATTTCTACAAATTATTGAAGGAATGATATATTTAGCATTTAATCACGTTATTCATGGTGATTTAGCTTGTCGTAATGTTTTGATATTTCGTTTTGATGAAAATCAACCTGAAAGATGTATTGTGAAAATTACTGACTTTGGCCTTAGTCGACATAGTCAACTATATTCAATGGCACCAGGTAGTGCTGCAAGAACAACATTGAATATCGTTCCTGTTCGATATGCAGCTCCAGAAGTACTTTCATCAAATACAACATCAGAAGTTTACACTGAAAAATCAGATGTCTATTCAATGGGTGTCTTAATGTGGGAAGCATATTCTCGAGGTACATTACCATGGCCAAATATCGAAGATGATAATGACGTTATTCAGCGTGTTAAAGATGGTAATTTGCTCTCTCGACCATCCAATTGCAGTCAATCATTTTGGTCTATTATCACAAAAACTTGGTCTACATTACCAAAAGATCGTCCAATATTTAGTGAACTGAAACATCTTCTGTCTACAGAATACTATCGTTCAGGTAATCGATTATATTTATCTTCCGAATCGAGTTGTTTCGTTATTTGTTTCTGGTTTTTATCTATATTCTCATAGTATAGATTTTGAATAACTCTAGTAGTTTATGATACCATTCAGGATCGACTCAGGTGTAGAAAACACTTTGATATAGATCGACAGATTACACATACTCAGTTCTTAAACTAAATACCAGTAATCTCTGAGAAGAAATTAATTTTAGCAACTATTCCTAATTCACGTGTTGTTCTCTTATTCTTATATTGTTCGGCAAAGTATATTGATATTTTGACAATCAAATTTTCCTTAGTAGATAAGTATATAACAGATATACTGTTTTGTGTTTCAATGACAAAAAACAAAATTGAAATTACAGGAAACTTTAAAATAATCATCGGATGGAAAGATACTTGGCTTAACTTATTGTAGTTATTGTTTAATCCATAGGCTGGTCTCTTCAAAAACAAAATGAAGGGTATTATACAAACATCGAATACAATCTAACTAGAATTGGAAGAAATGAAACACAACAGCAAAAGAAGGAGGAAGGTTTGATTACAAGACAAATACAACAACAACAGGAGTACTCAGATAGGAAATTTGCACAACAACAGCAGGAAATTTTAGACAGAGAATTAGCACAAGAAATTGCATTGCTCGAAAAAGTTAGTTTCTTCACAAAAATAAACATTGTTTTCTTTGAATATATTGTGCAATTTCAGCAAAAACAAAAAGAACAATTCAAATCAATTGAACGAGTTGGTAAGTCATTCGATATTTTTATGGATGAGAATATTCATTCTTTATACATATTTATATCTAAAATACCTGATATTTTTTCCTTAGAACAAGCAAAAGTTCCAGTACCAAAGCAAGAGTCATCATATAGTCTGATGAGACTTCCCTGCAAAGGACGTGCTTGTGCCAGATGTGCAAATTGTCGTGATTGGTACTGGCAGCCCTATGGCAAATATGGAAAGGATTATACAAAACGTAGTGATGCTACTTGTCGGATAGATGGTCACCATCGTATTAAAAGAAGTGAACTTGGTGAAGTTTTCTATAGTAGTGAAGATGGTAATTTTGGTGGTAGTCGTATTTATCAAGATGTTGATTGTAAACGTTTTTATAATCATATGAGCTATCGTTCTTTTGGTAGTAGTAATGGCGGACAACTATGTGCATGTGATGACAATCAATCATAATTTATGAAATATCAATTCTGAATTGTTTTTATTTGTAATTATCAATTTTATTGGAAAAAAGTAAAAGATTTATAAGTATTCACTCTTCACTAGCTTTCGAAACATTTAAGAATATCTGTATCGAGTGCTAGGACATATTTTAACTATCTTGAGAGTGTGGGTCTAGGTAAGGGTGTGAGTGTGTGTATTATGCACATCTGTGAACCCACGCCCACTCATCCACAGCCACACCCACACACAAGATTGTAACCTTTACTAATAAATATCGAGAAATGGCCGTTTGTTGCGAAATCAGAAGTAAATCATAATATGTCCTACATTCGTATAACAATGAAATTAAAATCATAATATGTCAATAGTGAATTACTTAATTGCGAACAATTTTGTTAACCGTTTACACAACGTCAAGAGAATAAATGTTTTGCATATATCAGATTCATGATTGTTACAAGATTGAGGATTAGGGGTGTTACTTTATCTTTACTTTATAAAATAAAGATAAAGATTCACTTTATCTTTATTTTATAAAGAATAAAGATAATCTTTATTTTAAAAATAACGATAAAGAAATAAAGTAAATCTTTATATTTATAAAATAAAGATAAAATTAATCTTTACTTTATAAAATAAAGATAAAGAAAAAGTTACTTTATTTTAAAAAATAAAGTTAAAATAAAGAATAAAGAAATTTTTCCCATAAATCTCTTATGCCCCACGCTCATTTGCTAGCATCATTCCTTGTTAGAATATGGCTGGTGGTCAGGAAAAACTGCGATCAATATTACCTCTTTATATATCAATTATTTGTCTAATTACTAATCATTTGAAAATATTTTCTTTATTCTTTATTTTAACTTTATTTTTTAAAATAAAGATGTACTTTATCTTTATTTTATAAAGAATAAAGTTAATCTTTATTTTAAAAATAAAGTAAAGAAATAAAGTAAATCTTTATTCTTTATTATAAAGTAAAATAAAAACAAAGTAACACCCCTATTGAGGATTCAAATCAAATTTTAAGTTTAGTTTATATCTAGCTTTCATAGAATCACAATTTGTTCTTTCGTATATTTAAACTATTGCAAAATAAACACAAGGATAATTACAGAAATCTTAATATGAACAAAATCGATTGAATGTACTCCAAAAACATTATAATTTAATCAATATAAAAAAATTAAAAAAAAAACAATTTAATTAAACACATCATAAAAATACTATCACATTGAAATAATTACTAAACTAAATATATTATTAAAACTAACTAAAAATTGTTGTGCAAAAAAAAATAGTATCATGTTTTAACCATTGTTCTGTATCTATTTTCAATTTTTTTTGAAAGAAGTCGTCGACATATAAAGCGTTTAGTCGACGTCTTTTGAATTCTATCAGTGTATGAAATTACTAGAATGAGTTTTGTATAATTGAATTTCTATGTACAACTTCATTCGAAACAATCGTTGTTTTAGATGATGTAATATATAAATAACCGAGATAAAAGAAAACAGATACAGATTCAAGGTTAAGCGATACTGGTGATAAATTCGTTATATATCTGAGAACAAAAAGCGAAGTAAAATATTGTCCTAGAAGATGGCACATATGTTCATCTTCGAAACATTGTAAGAGAAATATAAAAAGTAAATCCAAATGAAAAAGATTAAATGCAGCATTAAAAATAAATAAAAAATAATATAGATCAGACAGTATAGATTCATGGAAATAGACTTCAGTTAACCGGAATAATAACACTACTTGACATATTGAATGTTTTTGCTCTAAAAATAATAATTAAGTATATTATTTTCTAATTAAAAATACATACCTTCAGTAGAATATCTTTTATTTGGGGATTTTTTAATAAATTTTCTAACTCGACCGAATGGTGATATCATTCTATCAGTACAATTTATAATTGAAATACCTGCAAACATCCATGATAAAGCATGTGATATTAAAAGTTTCTCTTTAGTAGAATATGACTGTGGCCGACATGCAATAATCTCATCAACTGGATCAAATAAGATATCAGAAAAATCATACATAGCATAATTAAATTGTTGAACAGTATCATTTTCAATAAAACGTATATCTAATATTGTGACAAAAATTACGAGTTGTTGTACTACTGGCATATGAATAAATAATTCTTCTGATTGCCACTCATACATAAGAGATATACATCGAAAATTAGTAAGGTAAAGAAATGGTGATAAATTCATATCATCAAAATATTCACATATAATTTCTGTTGTTTGAATAAACACATCTAAGTACCGTACATTCGGAACAGCAGTAGAGAGAGATGGTAAATCTCCGATTGTTCTCAAATTAATACGTAAAAGTACACATGGACGTATTTCAATAAGAAAATGTAAGTTATGTAAAATATTAAGAATACTATTTAACTCGTTGTATTCATATGACACAAGACTAATTCTTTCCAAGTTAGAAAATATCACTAACGTATTTTTACCAAAATAATCCATGAATAATTCTTGTTGAAAAACAGAATAATAACGATCGATTAATAATGAACAAATATGAGAGCCAATTTGAGGAAAAACATTTTTGTATAAGAAATTGAAATTTGAAAAAGATGTTTTATACAATGATACTTGATAATGATATTGTTTGATCATTCGTCTCATTCGACAATTTAACCCAATAAAAGAATAGAGAATATCAGTACATAATAAATATTTACATACTTCCAGAACAATATCATCTGGAAGCATTTCGAATTTTGATTGACTAGAAGAAATTTCCATCTGAAAAAGAAAAGAATGTATATATTTTGTTTCCATAAAATATTGTTGAGACTTTATTTAATATATTTTAAGATGATAGCTATATGTTAGTAATTGACATGATCAGAAGAGAAATAGAAAATGTTTGATTTTGTGAAAATTAGAATATAATATATCATATTGGCGAAGGACAAATAAACGAAAATAACTTGGAAATGTTGTTTTCGTCTGCATCGTCGCTCATTATATTAGTTGTTGTAAAATATTAAACATAGTATGACATATATATATAGGTTGTTATTTAACGCATTTTGTAAAATGTCGATGAAAGAAGAGAGCGAAAGGAAAAACAAAAATCAAATTAAAAGATGTTATGGTTTGTTTTCTAGTTGTTACTCATAGTGTTTCTAAAAATATATGTTACCAAAAATATATTTGCTGAAAATAACATCTTCGAAAAACATCCTATTTTTAGTATTTGTCTAAAATTAGTAATAAAAATACTATTTCGGTATGAAAGTATCTATGACTCAGTGTTGTTTTTTAATATTAGTAGAATTAAGACAATATGAGAAGTGATAACTCTTGTTTTTACCAGAATGTGATTATTTAATAATAATATGATATTTTGCGCCGTTGTCATTTATAAATCTTTATTGAAGTTATTGCCCATAAAAAGTTTTCAAATATCGTTGTATAGTGATCAATCTTTTGCTATACTTCTGATTTACATATGAACTTTGTTATATTATTAGACAAGTATTCAGTCAGTTTTTCTTTTTATAAATGTTTGAAAAGCTCAGATAAATTGTCAGGGGTGGTGCGAGTCAGCCAACATCGGGGGAATGGTGTAGTCAAAATTTTCAGAGTAAAAAGATGAATTTTGCGATTTTTTAGGGGGTGTAGCATTATCTTTGGTAGAAAGCCTAAGAAGATTAACAATTTTGTTGAGCAAAAGATAGAAATTTTCGAACATTGGGGGAGGGAAGGGTTACACCCTCGACCCTCACCCCTCCCGGTCGCGTCACCTCTGTAAATTGCCTATGGAAGTTGATTAAGTAGTTTTTAGAAATAGAAAAACGTCTTTTCTGATACTATGATAAACGTTGTTTGCGTACGATGGAGACATCTTGTATGATATTAACACCTTTAAAAGAGGCATATTCTCCATTCTCATTGGTGATTTCACTACTTGATGTGAACGAGTATTGGTAGAACAAAATTAAAAGAATTCGTTTTTCTGGTGTAGGTTTGATCTTTTATACATATTCATTAAATGACAATGCGTAATGTGTAGAAACATCTAGGTAAATTATGTTTCGATTAGCACAATACGCGGTTAGAGTATCGCATCAAGCGATTAAAAGACCATTTATATGCTCAAGTAAGAATTCTATTCAATGATAAACTATATTTCAAATCATTTTTCTTTATTAAAGATGTTCGAACATATCTATCTGATACTTATCAAGCATTTGATAAATGGGATGAAGCATTATCAACTGAAATTCTTCAAAAAACAAATATTAGTATGTATAAAAAAAGATAATTTCTATTAGTAAATTACTTTTTTGCATTAATATTAATAGGTGAACTTTTAATTGATGTCGAAGATAAATTAATTCGAAAGAAATATGTTAGTTCACTTGATATTGAAATAGTAAGTTATATTATATGGGTATGATAGTTGATCTATTGATATATTGTTAGCTTGCAGCAAAATTAACTCATGTTGAAACAACCGAAGATCTTAAATTAGCAGAAACAATTTTAGAAAAGTAAGGAATATATTGTTAATTTTTTAAACTAAATTGAATATTTTATTTCAGATTTCGTCATACACCAGAAGCACTTGACTTTCAACCATCATTAGCCTATTCACTTATTCGAAATTATCTTGATCTTGGTCAAAAAGAACGTTTATTACCTATTTTAAATGATAAGGTTATTTGATATATCTAGAGATAATTATAACATTCAAAATAATATTTCTAGGTAAAATATGGTATTTTTCTTGATCGATTTTCCGCTAATCTTTTGTTGAATGCATTTTTACTTGAAAAAAAATATAAAGGTAAATCTAAACTTTTTTTATGATCTGTAAAAATTTTCCTATATAATAGAAGCTGCACAAGTTTGTATTGATCTTATGTTGCAAGATCAAGATGATGATCAATTAACACGAGCACTTGGTTTAAATGCCTGTTATAATTATTATTTAATCGCAACTGAAGAAGATTTTAAAAATACAATTGTTGAAGAAGATGATGAAGATATTGTTAAAGTTAAAGTACAATTTGTTCGTAATCTTACAAATGATGATCATTATGATTTAATGGATAAACGTAAATTACTTGGTAAAACAATTGCATATTTAACGCGAGATGCAAATAATAGTAGTCTATATTCTTTACACGTAAACTATTTCGAAATTCTCTTGTTTTTTTGTATAAAATTATTTTTTTGTCTAGATTTTGGGAAATATTCTCTATAAAAAATTTGGTCGGGTTTGCGATATACTTCAAACAATATTAGATAATGATCAATTACAAGTGGATGAAGGAATTGTAATAATAAATATATTTATATTTTTTTCAATAAACTTTTTCTTTATTATAATTTATAGATAAAAATTCTGGAAAAAGAACTTGATGCATATGTTTATAATCCTGAAGAATCAAAAGAAAATTTACCACAAAGTGCATATCGACGTTTAGAATTGATTCCTGAAGCTGCTCGTGATATAATCAAAGTATGTAAATAATTCTTATTGAAATAAGACAAAATGTATATTTCTATTAGGAAAAACTTTTACCACAACTTCGTGAACGTAATAAAATTGTTCCATTAGATCTTAAACAATTTGTTGAAACAAATCTTATTGATCAAGCTAAACTTGCTGATAAACGTGATACATCAAAACATGAACAACAAATAAATATTTGGTCACGTGAACGTCAAGAACAATTTGATGATCAAATTCATCGTTTTGTTATTGAACAAAAGAAAACAAATTTAATGGAACGTCTTCGTTTATTAGAAGAACGTGATGAATTATTGAACTTTTTTGAAAATGAATCACGTATTATTATGCATTCACAAGATAAAGAATTTGCTAATGAAAATTTTGAAAATATTCCGACAACAGGTGAAAATGAATATTTTGAATTAGCTCGTCAACATTATCATTGGGATCGAATGGAACCACGTCGATCATTACATCTTGATAAGAAATTACGTGATGAAGAAATGAGTGATATACGTCATTGGCCATCATATAAATATCTTGCTGAAAATTGGAAATATGATCTTGTTGATTATGTTCCATTGAATGAAAAAATGAAACGTCGGAAAGAAGATTTACCTCCAAGTGGCAAACCTCCTTATTATAAACAACACTTTTTCTAATAGATCAGTTTGTTTGTTTTTTCTTTTTTCCTATTGTTATGTTTTGCATGTAGAAAATAAAAACAAAATACAGTCTATTAACGATTCTTTCAAATATATATATATTTGTACAGAAAAGAAAGTAGTTAAAAGAATAAAAATATTTTTAAGGTTATTCTAAATAAGATGTGATAACTAGTTCGTCATTCCTTTATCGACTCCAATATCCACACGAATCTGAGTTACAGTTCGCATTGGTTGTACATTCACAGGAGCCACTATAAGCAGGCAATGTTCCACATGACTATAATACAAAGCAGAAACAATTATTTCATTAAAGATCAAATAATTTTTCAGACCTTTGAAGGAGTACACCACTGTCTCCAACCATCTTTCAAAAGAAGTTGCATCTTATCATTTTCAACCTAACAAGTGATATCTCCGTCAGTGCGATTATATTTTGCGAAGCTAATAACGCACTTACCCAAAAAA